GGGCACTTCCTGTGCACAGGAGACCCTCCAGCCGGGGAGCGTCGGGGAGCAAGTAGCAGACACCCCAACTCCACCCACATCCAGCTGCTGTGGCTTGGATTCCAGCTCACGGTGGTGCTGTGGGTTGGGATGTAACTGCCATGGAGATCTGAGGAAGGTCCTGTGAGTGGCACCCCAGAGGCTCCAAGTCCCCCCTTCTCCATCAGCATTCACATCATACTTTGGGGCGAGGAAGGTCCCCAGAAGCTATATAAATGCAAAGTACCTGCCAGCGGGGACATTAGTTGGGGTCAGGGACCCATTGATTGTCCATCCTCGATTCTGAGACCTGAGAACAGAGAGAGGCAGTGGTGGCCCCAGCCCGGCGCCCCTGGCCCACCCTTGCTGCCCCGTCAGTGAACTCCGGCCTGAGACAATGTAGAGAGGAGGAGCTGGCAGTGCAGGGAGGACCAGCAGCAGCTGGAGCTGGAGAATTTAAACCCAAGGCCATCTGACTCTGGCTCCCTCTGGCTGCACCTACTCCCACCCCCACTGGGAAAAGTCCATCTGGCCTTCTTCCAGGGGGCCTTGAGTTTTGGGGTTTTGGGGTGCCACCATGAGGAAGGAGGAAGAAGGGACCGTGTGACCGGGAAGGGCCGGCAGCTGTGGAGGGTCCTCAGCCCTGGAGTTTTGGGGGGTGGGTTTCTCAGAATGCAGGGCTTTCACTGCTAAACCCTGGACAGAGGTCCCCCGCGGTCACGGAAAAGGCAGGGATCAGCCAGCTTCCAGAGCCAGGCTTGTGGGACCCTGGGAGGAGAGGACCCAAGATGGGCAGTGAGGGCCTGGAGGCCAATCAGGAGCCTTCGACCTGCCCCCGCCCCCCACCACGCCCCGGCCTCCTAGGTTTCTGCTGCCGCCACGGAGACCCCAGCCTGGCCTCAAGCCCAGCCAGGCCCAGAGAGTCCAATCCTCTGCCACCCAGGCCTGCCCTGGGTGCTTCGGGCCTTCCTCCCTCTTCTCCAGAGACAGGGCAGCTGCTGCCCACCCTACCTGTGCCCAGGAGGCCATGCAGGGCACAATCCCACCCGCCGAGCCCCCGGCAGCGCAGGGATTCTCTGCTAAGAGCATGTCCAGCAGGGCTGGGGAGGGCGAGCAGCTGCCCCCACCCCCCACCGATCCCCACAGAGGGGCAGCAGCTTCTCCTTAATGGGACCTGCTCACTTCACTCCTGCCGCCCCAGGAGGCTCAGTCACTGGGCACCTGCACCACTGCGTTCAGCATCCACTGAAGCCCAGTGGGGGGTGGGGTGGAGGTGCTAGGGGAGGTGCCATCAGTCTACTGGGGTAGACCACAACCTCACACCTCAGGGCCCCAAGTGTGTGGGGGGGGAAGGGCTGCCCCCTCGAACGCTCCTCGGTGCTGACATTGTGATGAAGCACCTCTGTGGCTGTTGTTGATGGGCACCGTCAAGCGGCCCCGAGTGACCCCGAGTGGAACTGCCTCGTCTTAGGGGGTCCTCGGCCGCCATCTTTAGCAAGCAGGTCGCTCGGCCTTTCTTCCTAGAGCCACTGGGTGGGTTCGAATCACCATCCTTTCTGTCAGCAGCCAGATGATTAACCTTTGCACCGCAAGGGCAAAAATTGGCCATTATACACGTACAATTCATTCCATGATGTGAAGGGGTGGGAGGTGCTTCAAAAGGCTCGAGGGAAAGGTTAGGAGGTTGAGGAAACAGTGGGATTTTCCCACAAACTTTTGGAAGCTCCTTTGTATTCTTTACCAGCTCCAGCTGTGCTCAGCAGGAGGGTTCTCATCCCCCCACAAACAGTGCCTGTTAAGCAGGAACAGGAATGCCTACTGCACCCCCCACCCCAGCACCACCATTGCCCTCTCCAAATAAAACAGTGCAAACCACACTCACTGCGACGGAGTCTGTGTCAACTCATAGTGACCCTTTAGGACAGAGCAGAACTTCCCAGGTGGCTTTATGAGACTAGAGAAAGCCTGTCTTTGTCCCCCACACCCCTTAGCCCAAGGCGGTCTACTCTCTGCGTCTCTGCACCTGTCTCCTGATCATACGAGGGGGTATCCCCCCAAAAAAAACTGGAACAAAGCTCTTCTGGGCGGAGCTTTCATAGTATACACCCCCCCACCCCCCACCCCCCGCTAGGTGAGCATTGAGCAACTCACTCTGAGTTAGTGCACCCAGTGCCATCGCCTGGGAAGGTTCTCTCTGGCCACAGTGAATGTTTTCATCAAAGCAGTTTCACTCACACCTCTTTTTTTTCTCTTTGTGATGGCCAATTTAAAGAGAACAGTGCGGCTATGAAATTTTGTTTCCCACTCAGGAAAAATTTCACACAAACTGTTGTGACGTTGATCACAGTTTACAAGGACAGCGCTATGGGAAAACCTCAAGTATACGAATGATTTTCTTGTTTTGAAAATGGTGCAATGTCGATTGATGACAAGCCTTGTTCTAGATATCCACCAACCTTGTGAGTGGATGAAAATGTCAACTTCAGCGCATTTTGTGCCGCCAGGTCAGACTGTTAATCAAGCTTTCTATTTAGAGGTTCTGAAAAGATTGAGTGACGGTGTGCGACAGAAAAGGCCTGGCTTGTGGCAGACGGGACTGGTTTCACCACTGCTCATGAAGGCTTCTCAGCGCACCAGTTTTTGGCAAAAACCCCCAGCATGCCTGTCTTGCCCCTCACACCTGACTCACCTGACCTTGTTCTGTGTGGCTTATTTTTGTTCTGCAAATGCAGAGGGACACGAAAGGACCATTCAAAGATGAGTTTGAAAAATGTTTTCCAGGATGGAATCGAGATTTGGCAAATGTATTGTGTAATGACGAGTACTTTGAAGGTGATAAAGTTGTTTTGTGAAAAAATTAAATACATAGGTTTAGGGAAAATAATTCCATTTGGGGGATATCTCCTCATATCACCTGTCAGTGGGACCCTCGTTCCTCTGTCGGGAGTGATCACACTCAACAGGGTGCTGGCTCTACTACTCCGTGCCCTGGAATCTACCAGGGCTTCAGAAAGTTCCCGGGAAAATAGAATGAAAAGATATTGGGGGATTTCCCCTGAACTTCTTGAAACCCATTTGTATAAGCACTCATAGTGCCCCGATAAGACAAGGTAGAACTGCCCCTGTGAGTCTGTAAACCCTGGCGGGAGTGGAACGCCTCCACTTTGTCCAAGGAGGCTGGTGGTTCTGAACTGCTGACCTTGTGGTCAGCAGCCCAAGGCGTAACCTATCATGCCAGCTGGCGTCGACTCGGTGGCAGAGGGCTGAGTGTGTCTGTACAGCTGAGTCTTAGGCCCCTCCAGGTGGACCCCACTGCATGCATGCCTTCTTCTCTTGAAGTCACTGGAGTGGCTCGGCTCTGTGAGCCTCTGCTGATAGCGGCTTGGGGTACAGTCCATTGTACCATATGTCATCGTTCTACGTTTCGCCTTCCATTTCTTTTATTATTTTAAAGAGCCCTGGTTGGGCACTTTAATTCACGTTATGAAAAACTCACAATCGTGTCAGTTTTGCCAAATTGCCCTGTACAACTTCTAAGACTGGGGGTCTACTAGGGAGGTTCAGGCCATCCTCAAAGTTAGTCTTCAGATAGAGTTTCTAAGAAGTCTGGTTTTCAGTGCTTGTCACTACGTTGCTGTCACGCCAGCAGGTGTCAGGAGGCAGTCAAGGGGCCGTGCCCCAGGACACCGCTTACTGCTCCTGCCTTGTAAATGGACTTCAGTCTACAAGCGGGATCTGCGCTATTGGCATGTAGCACACCATGTGGTTCCAGATGGCAGCTGACACCAACTTTGTGAAAATAAAGGAATGGTTTCCCCGAAAACACGAGAAACCTTAATCTGTACATTTTAGGGCATGGTGAACTGTGCCACGGAGCTTGCAACCCTTAACCGTGACCGCCCAGCGGCGTATACACAGCCAGAGGGGAGCGTGCCTTCTTATGTGTGGCTTGGATGTAAAATGGCTAAAAGCTAAGTCAGTGTGCCAGCAGGCGGGACACCCTGTTGGATTCCCGGTAGTAAGCCCAAGGGCCTGGGCTCCCCACCTCTTCACCGACACTGGCAGTTTTCATTTGGTTTGGGGGTGGAGGGTGGGCGCTGTCTTGGCAGTAGCCATCCTGGAAGACGTAGTAGGTGGCGTGGATTTCCAGTTCTCTGATAACGACGGGTATGGAGCATTTTTGTGCTTTTATGGTACCGTGTGTGTGTGTGTGTGTGTGTGTGTGCCCCCCAACCTCTGCACTTTGTTTAGTCGGGATGCCTGTCTGCCCTCTGCTGCCTCGTAGTTCTTTGTCTGGGCCTGGATAATGCAGTCGTATCAGCCCCAACATGGGCCCCCATGCTGCAGGTTGTCCCCTCGCTCTCTGGTTGATGTTCTTGGATGGACAACGTTTTATAATGAAGTCCGATGAACCCTCCACACCCCGCCCCACCCCCAATCCCCTTGTCGCTTTTGCTTTTTGTGTTGTATCTCAGGCTTACTGCTACGCTTCTCTCCCCGAGTTCTGTGGTTCCAGCTCCTACTATTTATGTATATGGTGTGAGGTAGAGGTGGGCAGAACTTTTGAGGGACAGAGTCAGAGGAAAAGTGGGTGGAAGAGGGAAAGGGGCGTCTGAACCCGCCAGGGCACTCCCATCCTTCTCCCCCTCCCTGTGAGCTGCACCCACAGTAGTCCTCCAGCAGCGTGCCTGGTCGGCCCCCAGCTGCCCCCTCTCTGCTCCCCCCTCCCTTTGTCTGCCCTCTTCTCTAACTGGATGTCCCTCCAGCCTGCCCCACTCCCATCCCAACTCTCAATGTTCCCTCCTCTCTCTCACCCACTTGCTCCTGGGGGTCTTACTGCCTTTTCCAACCTGCAGTGCTTTTCAGTCTGCCCCCTTGCACCCCCCCCCCAAAAAAAAAACCCCACAGCGACCAGGCGACCCCACAGACAGGGTCTGGGATGGAAGGCGTGCCTGCCCCTGACAGTGGCCTGCCCCCTGCAGATGTGCTGGTGGACGGACAGCCATGTGACCGCGAGGCAGCGACCGCCTGTAGCGTGGGTGACCCGGTGCGCCTGGAGGTGCGGCTGACCAACCGGAGCCCGCACAGCGTGGGGCCCTTCGCACTGACCGTGGTCCCCTACCAGGACCATCAGAACGGTGTCCACAACTACAACCTGTGCGACCTCGTCTCTTTCGTGGGCTCTAGCACCTTCCACCTGGAGGCGGTACGTGCCCGCCCCTGCCCCTCATTGGAGGCGGACCCCTGACCCCCTGCAGGGCTGGCTTCCTGGATAGGCGGTGACCCTTAGGTCCAGAAGATATGACTATTAGGGGTCATCACTGCCCCAGGGAACACAGCCACCCCTTTCTCCCTGCTGGAAGGTCACTGAAGTGAGACCGGGAGGGCGGAGCATTGGGAGAGTCGGACCCCAGACCCCTGCCCTGATCTCCACAGCCCCATCCACGTCCATCCAGTCCTGCCCCCATATCGAACCACCCTCTGTCCACTTACCCCTCACTCCACTCCCACCCCTTGGGCCTTACCCTCCGCCTATCCTGAGGCCGCCTGCAACCCCAAACCCCGCCCACAGCTCCCGCCCCGCCCTCGGCCCCGTCCTAGGCCCCGCCCTCGGCCCCTCGGAGCTCTGAGTTGCATGCTACCAGCCCTGGAATCCTGGCTGCTGCGGAGGGCAGTGTGGCCAGGTCTTTTCAAAAGCCAAGGGCCTCAGGGGTGCAGCGGGGTGTTGGGGTCGGGCCGAGGGTTTCCAGCGATGCCACCTTCTCTCCCCTCCCACTCTCACCCCAGGTGCAGCCGTCTGGCCAGTCGGCCTGCCTCGGCGCCCTCCTCTTCCTGTACTCCGGAGACTTCTTCCTGCACATCCGCTTCCACGAGGACAGCGCGAGCAAGGAGCTGCCGCCCTCCTGGTTCTGCCTGCCCAGTGTGCACCTCAGCGCCCTGGAGGCACGGGCCTAGGCCTGTGGTGGAGGGGGTGCCGCCTGGGGCTAGAGCCCAGGGTGCCCGGCTTAAGCTGTCCTCCCAAGGCTGGCTCCCATGGTGAGGGCGACAGTGGCTTAGCCGGGTCTTTTCCTACCTTGCAGACCAGCTCGCCAGCCCTGCCACCGCCCTTCTCCCCTGCCCTGAATCCTTACTCCAGCATTGCCTGCCCCTGCCCCTGCCCCCCACCTTCCAGGCTGCCCAATCCCTCCTACCCCACACTCAGTGGGCAGCACCCATGGGCCCAAGTTCAGGCTACCAGCTAGGTCCCTGTGACCCGGGATCCCAGCCATCCCCTTCGCCTGCTTTCACCACCGCCTAGAGGCGCCCCTCCCCTTAGAACTCGGAAAAGCCGGGCAGGGGGTGGGGGTGGCAAAGAGGGGTCCCTGCTGTTTGGCTGTGACAAGTGCTCCAATAAAGAGTCTGTCTCAGCACCTCCAGGTCCCCTGAGTCCCATTGGGTCGGATCCACGCCGGTGTTGGTCGGGGAGGGAGCCGGGAATAGGAACACCCACGTACACAGGCCTGGACTCTTCAGGCCCTCCAGCCGGACATTCTCCCCATCTGGCTCCTGACTGGGGGTCAAGCCCCAATGCTCACAGGCTCTGAGGTGGAAAGTCTGGCCACAACAGGTGGACCCCGTCGGGTGGGCATCCCTGGCCGAGATCCAGAGGACCCCAATAGGAGGGTGGGCTGACGGGAGCCCCAGGGGGGCTTCCCCTCCAGCCTTCACAAGTCTGTTACATGCCCACCATGGGCATACGGACTGGCTGGTGATGCCGCTGTGGGGTTCCTGCCTATGATCTGGGCACCCGGAGACTTGGTCCCCCCTGTAGCGTGCATGGGGATAATAAACCCGTCCTCTTCACCAGGGCAGGTGGGGAGGCCAGGTGAGATGTCCAGGCCATGCTGGGCACTGGGCATGTCAGGTGATTCTGTGGGCCCAAGGCAGCCTCTGGTGAGGATGGAGACCACAGAAAGTTCTTCACTTGCTGAGCCTGGAGCCACTAGACCTGGTGGTAGGGGCCCTGCCCCACAAACCACAGGGTCCCTTCTGCCGTTGTGCTCCAGGTCCGAAGGCAAGGGGAAGACTGGGCTGTCCTCCTGCCCCCCCCCCCCCCCCCCCCCCCCCCCGCCCGCCCCGACATCCCACACATGTCAGCGCGATATTACCTGGAAGCAGGACCCCCAAGCCTCCAAGACCAAGGCTTCTGGCCCCTGCCTCTGTGAGCAGGGGCCCTGATTTCTGTGTAGGGAGCAAGGTGTGTGGGAGGGGAGACCTCAGTGGGTGGAGCTTGGATGGGGGCTTTCTGTGGTCTCCATCCTCACCAGAGGCTGTCTTGGGCCCACAGAATCACCTGACATG